TGTTCTACGTTGTTTAGCTGTGGGAACTCTTGCTACGCAATAGGGCGGTTTGAAGAAACTCAGTAAAAGGGTTTTGTAGTCACGCAGTCTCTGGCTAAGTAAGCCTGCGAATACTGCTGCCTGACACCACTCCCCTGCAGCTAGTTTGGCTGCATTTGCGCGGTCACCGCTAATCAGTACTTTAGACATTGGTCTCTCCTCGGCTAAACAAAGTGTCTGTCGTGCCCACTCCAAGAAATAAGCTAGGCCTTCTTAAAAGGGGATTGTAACTTCTTCCGACCGGAGACGCCGCCAGTAGTCACCCTGGTATGATTCCATATGATTACGTGAAAAGATGAATCTATAAATAGCCTAAATGTCTAATACACTGTAACCCAGAAATATAAGAGTCAGACGAACGCTTTGTGGTGGTTGATTCCTGACACACCGCAATGTTAACCTGACTTGGTTGTTGATTAACCATTACGGAAAACTTGAAAAAATAAAATGACCTGAGAAATTTCTGTCCATAAAAATAAAAAGAGTTAGACTTATCTGAGGCAATATAGGCAAAATAGTTTTTTTGACCAATCAGGTCAATAACCAGAGTTTAATATCATGATCACCTGACGTGATACAACTCACTTTGGTAACTACCGCAAAGATTTACGAAATGTCAGTCACTGTCAACGAAAGTCCTATTCAGTACTACAGTCACCCAGAGGTAGATTTTACCACGAGTCGAACTCAAAAATCTTCTCGGGCGCGAATGGGACGATTTCCCATGTTTTCTGCGGCAAAAAACGAACGAGAGAGCGGGAGCTCGATCGACCTTCGCTCGCCCTGGGGCCTACTACTGTAACCGGAAATGAGAAGCCAAGGGATCTGAGAAAATCTAACCTAGAGGATGATTTTCCACCAACTGTAAAACTGCTGTATGTAAGACCCCTGGTCGTACAACCCTTGGACGTAGGACCCCTGGATGTAGGAAGCCCTGGTGGTAGGACCCCCGGACGTAAGACTCCTGGTCGTAAGACCTCTGTATGTAAGATCCCCGGTCGCAAGACCCTAGTTCGCAGGAACCATGAATGTAAGACCCCTGGTCGTTACTCCCCTTGGTGTAACACCCCTGGTCGTAAGACCCCTGGAGGGTAGACTCCTAGAGTTAATTCCCCTGGTCGTAACACCCCTGCATGTAAGACCCCGGGTCGTAAGACCCTTGGAAGTAAAACTCCTGGTCGTAAAAACCCAGGTCTTAAGACCCCTGGACGTGGCCCTTGGTCGTAAGACCCCTGGACTTAAGACCCTTGGTCGTAAGACCCCTAGTCCTCAGACCCCTGAACGTAAGATCCCTGGATCTACGTCCTGTATGTAAGACTCCTGATCGGAAGACCTCTTGCTGTGAGAGCTTTGGATCATTATCAACAGCTGGGCAAACCCCCGTACATAAAAATGAGCCGAGGATATAAGAATAACCCCCTTATATAAATCACCTCTCTTAAATAGCCACTTTTAACACCCCTGGATGTAAGAATTTACAACCTCTGGATGTAACATCCCTTCATGTAAGGGATACAACCCCTGGATGTAAGACTTTACAACCCCTTGGTGTTTCAAACCCTGGATGTAAGACTCCAGGATACAAGAATTTTACAGTTCCTGGATCTAAGACCCTTGGTTGTAATACCCCGGGATATAAGAATTTTACAGTCGCTGGATCTAAAACCCCTGGTTGTAAGACTATTTTTACCCCTGGATGTAAGACCCTGGTTATAAGACTATTTTGTACCCGCCGATCTAAGACCCCTGGATCTAGGACCCCAGGATATAAGACTTTTACAGCCACTGGACCTAAGATCCCTGGCTGTAAGACAATTTTTACCCCTGGATGTAAGACACTGGTTGTAAGACTATTTTTACCCCTTGATGTAAGACCCCTGGTTGTAAGACTATTTTTACCCCTGGATGTAAGACCCTGGTTGTATGGTTGTAAGACTGTTTTTACCCCTGGATGTAAGACCCTGGTTGTAAGACTATTTTTACCCCTGGACCTAAGACCCCTGGTTGTAAGACTATTTTTACCCGTGGATGTAAGACACTGAGTTGTAAGACTATTTTTACCCCTGGATGTAAGACCCTGGTTGTACGACTATTTTTACCCCTGGATGTAAGACCCCTGGTTGTAAGACTATTTTTACCCCTGGATGTAAGACCTGGTTGTAAGACTATTTTGTACCCTCGGATCTAAGACCCCTGGATCTAGGACAGCAGGATATAAGACTTTTACAGCCACTGGACCTAAGATCCCTGGTTGTAAGACTATTTTTTACCCCTGATGTAAGATCCCAGGATATAAGAATTTTACAACCAATGGTTTTAGTACCACTGGATTTAACTCCGCAAGTTAGAATTCTACAAGGTGGGTGTTTTACGGCCGATCAATTAGTAATGTAACTACATCTCCTGGATTTAGAGATTTCATGGAATCAATTCTCGACACAGTATTCAACACCTTGGACTGTATAACCTTAGGATTTTACGCCCTTGAAGTTATTGTTCAACAAGCCCTGGATGCTTATGCTTAGACCACCTAGCCCAAGAAACTATGGACTTAATTACAAACCCTTCCAAGTAGAACCTGGATGGGTACGGTTATGTAGTAGCTTCGGGATGGGTTTCGCGGCCCTTTCGAATCCCCAGGTTCTCTTAGGCTTTTTTTCAATAACGCATATATACAACATGCAGCTTATACTATCGCTTACTCGTTTGTTGTTGGATACCATTTTCATGCTGATACTAACGACTAGACTTTTTGAACGGTGACAATTTGAAAACAAAAGAAAACCCCAGAAACTAAATAAAGAAACAAACAAATAACTGTTCAAACAAGTTCACGAAAAAGCGTGAATAAACCGTTCGTAGACAATAAAAGCTACGGTGCATAGCCTGCAGAACAGGTGTAGTTCTAGGTGTTTTTCAGGCGAGCGAGAGAAAGCGCGAGGTGGGCGCGAACTGGCGAGGAGTGTCAGACACGCTCGACGGAAGAGAAGCGAAAAAAAATCCTTACGTCCTGGGGTTGTAGAATCTTAAATCCAGGGGATGTAAATCCTTTTCGATTTCTCTAAGGGTTGTAAATAGTAATACATCTAGGGTCCTCCCATACTTGGTCATACTAGTAGGCTATCGCTTTTTTCCAAAGTGAGTTTATTTGGGGAAATCTGCCTTCTATTGTTCTTGATTGGACGCACTTCTTTATAGTTAATGCCTTTTAGCTACACCAACAATTTTTATGCCCTCTCATTACAGGGTCTTACTTACAGAGATCCGTTTAGAACTGAATAATATATATAAACGTAACAAAGCTGACTTAATAACTATTGATATTTCATTAAATAATCAACCTGGAAATCGTAAAAGATAAACTGAGTTAAGGATGTTATTATATCTTCTTTCAGCTAAAATAACCTAGACCTTTCTGACTGATAAACACTGTTAGTAGGCATAATTCCTAACGTTTAAAAAAACAGAAAATTACGTAACAAAAATTAAAAATTACAGCACTGATATTGAGACGAAACCTTTTTAAGTACTCTCATATGCATCTCTAGCACCTTGGTCTTTGACTAGCCAGTTTTCATATTATATGATCGGGTTACGACTTTCTTCTTTACCGATAAGGGCTTCTGTCGATAGCATATCGCAACAGCAATGTTATGTAAATCGCAGGGGGAGCAAGCTTCGGTTGGAAACTAATCCAAGGCCAAGATATAGAGATCAAAACAAAATGAGACCAAACATCAAAATATCTATATCCTATATAATTGTATCATCATTTTCACCGTCAATTCCTTGATGATCATTTTTCTTCTGGTTCAAGTCAAATGCGTCTAATTTTTACCGATCCAGATCTGTTTTAGAGATCCGGCCACTGAACTCTTTGTTTTGCTACTCACGGTTTTGATGTTCAGTTTTTAAACCAAGCTTACTTTCATTAATACGCATCCCTTAATAATAATTCTTTAACAAGAATCTCAGCTTTAAAAAAACTATAAAATGTAACCCCAAAGTATTTTTATCATGAGGAATTACTTTATCTCACTTGCGTAACTGAATGGCTTTCTCTCAGTTTTTCCATGGCATTTAGCTGTCTTTTATAGTCAAATTGAAACGAACTTCCCGCTTAGGTTTCTCTGTTTACACAACGACAGCTTCTTGAACGTACTCTGTCACTACCGCCTCAATTTTCTTTTTCAGTTTGATCTTCCTCCAGCCAATAAACCTCTTGCCTTTTGTTAGCCCCTTAAAAAACAAGCTGGGAAGGGCCCCACTTAAAAAAACGGCAATGGTGGAAACAAGCGTCGAAATTTCATACTCATTTTTGAAGAAAATGATTGAAGATATCGTCAAAAACAGAAACGTGACAATAACAACCACCTCACCAAGCATTAGGCAGATTTCAGTTTTAACAGGAAACACTTTATCACTTACGAACCAAAACAGCTTGGCTGGAATTGTGCTATGTTCGCCGTTAAGGGTTGCTTGCATTTCCCGTTGCCAATATTTTAAGATAAATCCTTTGACTTCCATGTAACTCTTCTGCAAATTAGCGTAGCAGAAGTAAATATTTGTTACGACAACGACGAAGAAGGCTGCATAAGGAGTTACAGTTTCAACGTTTAGAACTAATCCCATGATTGTGAATCCTAATATTCCGGCGAAAAAGGAACAAAGCATAAATACTTGGAGATAGGAAGCAAATAGAATCGAGAAGAAGTGTACTACAGCAAAAAGAGTAAAAAGCCCGAATAAAAATCTTGACAGTATGCTGGTAATGTCAGCCAGAATTAATTTGACGAACTTGAATGTAATATTTATCATGCAGATCATGACCAAAGTACTAAATGGTGAAAATAAAACTAGATTAACTAGAAATGAAACAAAAAAGAAAAACAAAGCGATTACTACCCAAACAAGACTCGCAAGAAGCAGCGTAACCAAACTAGAAAATAGAATCCACAACGTCAATGCGCTCGTCTTATACGTGATCCGTTATGATTCACCTTTAAGTAACAGGTAGAAATGTTTCCTAATTTCTGTAGACCGGTCTTATATTGGTTAAGAAATTTAAACATCAGCAAGTATGCCACTTTCTGCATAATATTTAAGTGATGGAGTATTTTATCTCCAATACTAACAGAATCTTCGTTTTCTGTAATAGGTAAAGAGAAAAGGTGTTTGGCCATATGACATTGCACACACACAAAATTCTGGTTGAGGAATAAATCCGTTGGCCTTAAAAACAAAACTGCCATCAAACACGTTAAAGTTGATAAGGCTACTAAAAAGTATTGAAAGGGTCCAGTTGGATAAAATAAGCGTGAGAGAGAGAAAAACATCGGAGTTTCACGTGCCAAAGTTTCCGGTGGCACCTTCATGAAGAGTTCATCGAAATATTTCTCCTTGAGGACCAAGAATATACCTACATTTACATAAAAGCCAAATGGAAAAATACAAAGCAGCAAAACCGCTAACTTAAGGTTAAACGACAGCTTTACATCGGGCAGCTGCTGAACACATCCCAGCAAAGCCGTTGAACAGGTTACCGGACTGGCGTCATCTACAGGAATTTCATCTAAGACCTGAATCTCAGGAATTGCCTCGTATCCACTTCTTGCATGAATAGTTAGTTCATCAGTGTTACCTTCCCTGTTACATTCATACTGAAGATTGAAAATATAGTCTGGCAACAGCAGAGGAAGTGCAGGGAAATAAAACATTAGCACCACAGCTAAGCAAATCAGAAAGTTGTAAATCGCTTGGTACCAGTTGCTACCTTCGACAGGAACATCACAGTTAATGCTTGACGCATTGAACCTACAACAATGATACTTTATAGAGATGGTGTCATCATGCTTCAAAAAAGCATTACGTACAGTTTTCTCTATCGCTGCGACACAGACCACCCCAGTTTTGCCGCCTTCACTTGTTACATTGTCCAACAGTGCTCTTCCGACGGCCACATCCTGACATGTTGAGTTTAATCCCGCAAGGCATCCACTCGGTTCATCTCTCAGAGGCAATTTCATGCTTCGCACTTGGTAATTGAGCAGGCCCAGTGATAAAATGTCGTAGTCGTACGGCAAAGAAAGCATGGGTTCCTTATTTGACCGAGCCCACACCCATCTGTCGGGTTGAAACTCGTCTTGCAACTCCAGCGGATTGTAACTGTTGTTACCGATCTTTAGATTCAAATAGATCATTCTCACACCTTTCTCAGAAGCCTTAAGCCTGAATTCTGATGCGATATTTTCTCCAACGGGCAATACTTTACAGTTAACTAGACTGCAGTTCTGAACAGCGGCAGCAGTCGATACACAAAACCACACACACGCAAGACTTTGAAAAGCCACAGCCTTGAAAGCAGCCATGTTTTGATTTTTAAGTTTTAATATCATTTGATTGCGACAGCTAGTATTAGAAACATTGCTTTTGTCTTTCAAATTTACCGATTAATCTATTGCAGAAAACAAAGAGCCCTTTGCTTTAAAGCTGGTGCGCCCAAGCGCAAAGGAATGTGTGGAAGTGTCTAGTGAATCTAATGTATGAATAATTTGGTTGTCAATAAACTATGGAAGTATGGAAATGTGGAAATGTGTCTTGATAAGCTCCTTATACTGTAGATGTATAGAAATGGGGAAAGTGCCTCGATTACTTAGTAACCATAACTGAGTTTGACGTTACTGTGGAAAGGCTGAAGTATGTCTTATCAGTGCTAGACCCTACACCTGATATGTTTTTAATTTTTAATATCATTTGATTGCGACAGCTATTATAAAAAATAATCATTGTTTTTTCCTTTCAAATTTACCGACTAAGCTATTGCAGAAAACAAAGAGCCCTTTGTTTATTAAACTGGCGCGCCCTAGCTCAAAGGAATGTGTGGAAGTGTCTCAGTGAATCTGTTGTATGAATACTTTGCTTGTCAATAAACTATGGAAGTGTGGAAATGTGTCTTTGATAAGCTCCTGTACTGTAGATGTGTAGAAATGGGGAAAAGCGTCTTGAGTTAGTTTCTGACGTTACTGTGGAAATGCTGAAGCATGTCTTATCTCTATCAGCACTTCACCCTACATCTGTGGGTAAGTCTGGAAGCCTTGGTCTGGAAGTGTAGAAATATGCATATATGAAAACGTTCCCTTTATAGCCTGTGTGGCGTGGCCAGCGTTGAAGCAGTCGTAGTTGACATGTATGTTAAAGCAGTCTGAGTTGACATACAGTTGAACTGCCACCTTGGGGACAGAAGAAGGCGGCCGTTGTGGAGAGCTGGCAGTTATGGGAGAGTCTCTAAGGAGGGTCTCAATGGGGGTACCTCGATAACACTAAACACTTCATTTTTTGGCTTTATAACATGAAACAGTTAAAATTTAGGTATTTTAACACTAACAGTAAAAATTCTTTCAAAAAGTAAGTTTTTTTCAGAAAGAAGAAAGAGACGGCTCCAAACAGGCCAATATTATTTTGTTTAGTATATCAAGAGGTTTTCGGCCATTGTACGACGATTGCGGACAAGAGAGGATGAAGGGGCTAAGAGAATTAACCCCCATATTGGCCCCTATACCCATCGTAATCCCTCTTAAGTTATTTTTAGATCTTCTCTGAGGTCTGTTGTTCTCAAGAGCCCCGTTATCCTCTCTTGTTCCGGATTAGTTCAAAAGATTCCTGAAGGCTACCGACCATAACCGAAGACTTTCGAAGATTTCCGAAAACTAACGAAGAGGTCCGACCATTGCCGAAGATGTCCGAAGAACCCTCCAAACACTTAACAGTAATTTCTTCGGAAACAGTCAACATTAAAAATTGGCCAATTTAACAGCAAACACTAAAAATTTTGGGCAAATAACACTAAACTCTAATGCCCCATTCAGACCCTCTCTAAGGGGTTAACCTTCACCCATCAAACGACCAACAATTCAACTGTCAGCCGTCAAAAAAGGTAATATTTGACCATCATCCGTCCCAAATGCAGATTAATATTAACCGTGATTAAGTAGCACCACCGAAAGGAAAGATGGCCTAATTGAAGGGAGAAAATCAACGAATCGATGGGACTTCGAAGAGTTTTAACGACGCAATTTTTCAGTGTAATTTCACGATCGTTTGCCGAGTGTCAGACACACAGGTAGACGAAGGTAAACAATTTACCACGGGCGTAGAGGGAGGTAAACGAGATAAACATTGTTGAGAAATGCTTTAACAGATTCCCTACCCCTAAACTTATCTAAAAGTCTAGTTTAAGGCAGTACGGGGGTCTGTTAAAGCATTTCACAACAACAACAAAACGTTACGAGGTACTTAAAACCTCCCCATTTCAGATGATCTTTACCGACGTCTGGCTCCTAAAAAATCTCTAAACTGGAAAAACCAGTTCCCATGTTCTGAGAAACATTCTCTCTACGACATTACAAGGCCTTACAACTTGTTTGTATCTGAAAATATTTCGAAGTTTTATAAGTAAGGGAGGAAGGCAACTTTTTCGAGTGCGTTTGTATTCGTCAAAAAATCGCCAAAATTAGTCGAAAAACAAATGAGCAAAGGGAAAATGTTCTTACTCAGACTCTCAGCCTGAGGTATATGTTCTAAGTATGTTCTAAAAAAAGGTTCTTACAAAAATAGTACTGTATTTACATTAATCTTAACTGAATTGTAAGACTTGCCGCGATTAATTGTCGACGCCCCATACGGATCAAATTTCATGACCATCCATGAGTTTTCCGTCAGTCACTGAAAAAAAATGGCCGTGTCGAGGCAGTTAGGGAAGCGCTTTAGTGGCCGATGTAGAGAGGTTTAAACTGATTAGTGAATGTATGGACGGGCCGCTAGGACAAAAAAGTACCGGTTTTGGAGAGGTGGCCGCTAGTGTAAGTTCGTGTTTTGATCCTTTAGGTGTTGTAAAGTGATACTTCGGCTAATCTCACCGGGCTAGGAGGAAAATGTGAAGTACAGAGTACCGGAGTGTATTTATATAAAAGATTCCACAGTTCGCACCCCGCACGCGTCATTTTCCACCTCACCATTAAGGGGGCTGTCTCACGGCTGCCTAGTTCATTTTCTTAATATTTCCAATTACGCTTCCCTATGCGTTATGGAACTTAAACGTATCTAAGAAATCACTTGTAAACGAGAAAATCACAGCTTCTTGTCCAACAAATACACTTCCCACCGGCAAGCTCTGTATCAAACATTACAAACAACAAAAATGAACTTTGAAAAATCGTTACGCTAAAAAGTTTTCAAAATCCACGATTTTAATCCGTTTTAATCCTCTTCAAGTTTGTCCATCCGTGCTTTACTTTTGTATTTGCTGTGTTATTGGTTTCTTCTTGGATTGTTCTGAAGCGATTATTTTCATCACGGCCACTTTGAGGATTGCGCAATATGATGCCATTAAACTATCATACTGAGCTTGGGCTGCCTCTTTTTTACCGCCAGCTTGTATACGATCGCTTGACTTTTGGTCGGTCAATTTCACATTCGATTGTACAGCAAACAAGGGCAATTTATGCCGTGAATTGTAAATTTTACCGGCATCAAGGTCATGCACAAATAAATCCTCTGCGTCCTGTGCCTATAGCAGTCCATTGTTTTATCTCTTCCGCCAACCAACTTTGATAGACAACGAAACGAAAACGGTTTAGCAAACTTTTAAATATATTCTAATTTATTTATAATTTATGAATTGAGTTCGGCACGGCAGTAGCACGACGTTTCAAACCAAGTTGAGCTACTGTCGTGTAGCACGGCAAGGCTTGCCGTGCTACACGGCAGTAGCACGACTTGGTTTCAAGCGTCGCACTAGTGCCCTGCCAAAGTCGAATTTAATTTGACGTTTGAAACGGGCCTTAAACTTCAACATAAAGAAAAATGGCACTGATAAAAAGTGCCAATGACAGCTTGAGAGAAATCTTTATTCAATGGGTGTACACACACACTCCAGCCACAAACACACCGAGATTTGCCATCACCTTTTGGTAGGGAAAAAATCATCCAAAGGTTTAAACTTCAACAAATAGTGAAGAAAAACCCCACAAGGTACTCATCGTAGAATCTTTTGCAGAAGACGATGAAAAAGCACAGTACGCTAACATCAAACACGTCTTCATTTAATGGCTGCCCTCGCTTAACATGGGTAAGCAGTTGATGTTAAACCATCATAAGGTCAAAGTTTGTCCGTTTTCACGACGTAAATCCCGAGGAAGGAACTCTCTTATATTAACCTTATAGATATTGCTCTGAAATAGTAGAGAGATTAAGATTCACGTTTACGGCACACGGCAAACGGCAAACGTCAGTTGAGAATTTCTCAAAATAGAAAATAAGCAGATAAAAACAGTCCAGAGCGATTCTTTTGGATAAAACTGGCATAAATTTACCTATTTTTGTGTAGAAGCAATAAACAGTAAACGAAAAATAAGGGGAAAACTTGGTCACGTGGTACAAATTCACGTTTGCCGTTTGGCGTAAACGTGAAACTTAATCTCTCTAGTGTAAAGATTAGATGAGGCGGACGATACACGCCCACTACGACTTCCCATTTTATAAAATGCGTTCGCCTCAGGCAGCCCAGTTAAAAGATTAAGACTTATGAGGTACGCAATAAGTTCACAGCAAGAGAGATTTTTTGCCCAATCAGGTCGATAGCCAGAGCCTTTAATACCATCATCAACTGACGTGATAAGATTCACTGCTGCAAAGGTTGACGAAATCTCAGTCATTGTCAACAACAGTCCTATTCAGTATTAGTAAACTCCAACTAGTGGTCTATTAATCAATGCTGCGTTATGATTGGTTGAGCTACTACTAGGCTATATCGCTCCCTCTCTCCGTTTTTCCTTCGTCGGGGGGAGGGTGCGGCTACGCGTAGGCTATGAAAACCAAAACAATGGCGGCTGAATCGCGTTTTGCTAGCTAAAGTTTTTTTGTCTCGATATTTTTCACCAACTAGTTGGATTTTACTAAAACAATTATTCCTCTCGCCCTCATCGCCTTTAAGTCAATTGCCCATTCCGCCTTCGGCCTCATGGGCTATTGACTCAGAGCCCATTTGAGCTCAAGGAATAATTGTTAACTACACTCACACAGAGGTAGACTTGTCAAAAAGTCGAGCTCAAATTTTTTCTCGAGCGCGAGCGGGACATTTTTCTAAGTTTTCTGCGGCAAAAGCGAACGAGAGAGCGGGGGCTCGACTCGACCTTCGCGCTGGGGCCTACTACCGGAACCGGAAATGAGAAGCAAAGGACTCTGAGAAAGTCTAACCAAGAGGATGATATTCCACCAACTGTAAAACGGTTTTAACAAGCACCCACCAGTTTGTGGTCAACTTATTGGTCATTAATTACAGTATTGCGGTGGTTGCAAAACTTTAATTTGTTTTTATTTATGATACTAAGTCATAAAAGTAATTGTAAGTATAAAAAGGTTTCAAAACTACGCTCTGACTTTGGCGGTTTTTTTAACAGGCTAAACCTAATTAACACTGGTTCCTAAAGTCCAAGCTGTGCAAAAATGTGCAAAAATCTAGCCTGAGTCCTTATTAGACAAGCACCAACCCTTGGCTGATGCTTCCCTGTGATCGTTCGATCGTGACAAAACGGGGTTCCTTGTGTCACTCTGGCTTGGTAACCTGTCTGTTTTAGAAATGGCGGCTGATCGAGGGAGTTATGGTTTGAAAAAGTCTCCAAAATGCTAGCCTGTGTACAGACGTCCCCCCTCCCTCAGAAAAAATCGGGAGAAGAGACGTCTTCTCTTCTTCGCAGTAATGGCGTAGAGATTCACTCTGTGGAATTGCTATATTTCAGGGAAAAGCGAACTGGTTTAGCAAAGACGTTAGGCCTCTAAAACCGTACAAAAATGAACATAAACATATCCTTCAAGAAACAGGACGTGGGGAAGGAGGAAACACCGACATATAATGACCTTTTACTTGCTTAAGGAAAAGCGCTTAGGCAACATTACAGACTCTTGTATAGCAAAGAAAGCCACCTTTTTCTGGTGACTCACGAACCAACTTTGGGAGCTTGACACATTGCCAAATTAACATAACTGAAAGCCACGATCGCCTTGCGAAGGTTTAGAGGTGGGGAGGTGAGCGATTCTTCGTCTCACTTCGTCTCCCCATTAATCCTTCATATGGTCGCCATATTTAAAGAACGGGAAAAGTAAATGACGCGCATGCTCCAGCGCCATGTTGTCCTCAATTTCTGGCAAGAATAGATTTAAATTATTCAAGAGAGCTGTTAAAACTAAGGATCCAAATACATGGGCCGACTATAAGAGGTTGAGAAACGAAATAACATCTGACCTTAGGAAAGCGAAGGCTGCATACTTCAGAGGTCAGCTGAAAAAGGCGAAGACCACCTCGACGTATTGGAATGTATTATCCAAAGCTACCAAGCCCAAAGTAAGGAAGAAGATAGGTCCATTAAAGCGTGACGACAACAGCTTAGCGGTAAAAGATACGGAGAAGGCGAGCCTTATGAACTCTTTCTTCTCCACGATAGCTGAGAAATTAAATGCTGGGCGACTCCAAGCACTACACTGAATTCTTGACTAGTCCATGCTCCATACCTGTACCAAGTATATCCGATATTAGTCTATCTAGCCTTGATATTGACAGGAATATAACATTATTGAAGAATAATAAAGCCACCGGATCGGATGGTATATCACCCAAATTACTGAAACTCGCAGGTACTGCTGTTGTTGGGCCGCTGACCAGCCTTTTCATGCAAAGCATACGCGAATGAAGAGTCTACAATAATTGGAAAGTGGCCAGATTAACACCTGCATTTAAAAAAGATGATCCTACGGAAATGAGTAGTTATCGTCCCCTCTCCTTGCTAAGGGTACATCTACCCAGCAAGATTTTAGAATCGTGTAGCGGCACATGATTACGAAACATGTTTTCTCGGAAAACGAAGCGCTCGTCACTGACAACCCATGGGCCTACCGAAAACGAAGATCGACAGAGCTATTACTCATCCACCTGACTGAAACTTGGCGACGAGCAATCGATAACAAATTAGTTGTGGACGCCGTATTCTTAGACTTCCAGAAGACGTTTGATCGCGTTTCACACTCAATCCTTCTTCACAAGCTAGAGCACAACTTTGAATTCACGGGAAACCTACTGGCATGGCTAAGAGATTATCTATCTGAACGGGAACAGTATACTGTAATTAATGGCGTACCCTCTGAGAATACCAAAGTTGCCTCCGGTATACTACAGGGCTCCATACTCGGGCCCATACTCTTCGCCTTCTACACAAGCGATCTACCGAAAGCAGTTAACACTGCAACGACGTTCCTGTATGCCGATAATACTACCATGTACTGTGTTAGTGAATCTGTAAACCAGGTCACAACAACGCTGAACAAAGCTCTAGAAGAACTCGCCCTCTGGTGCAAACATAACTCCCTAGTACCACACGCCAAAAAGTGCGAGAGAATGATCCTTAAACGAAATAATTTGATCGGTCGCTTAGGCAGTTTAAAAATTAACCAGTATCTCATAAAATGGTCCTCAAGTTCTAAGCTGTTAGGTGTAACCATTGACAACAAACTTACGTGGACAAAACATATATCAGAGCTCCAGAGAGGGTTCGTTAATAAGCTCAATCTGATCAAACGCAGCCGCTTTTTACCTAGGAATTCGCTTTTAGATATATATTTTAAAGTCAATTTACCCTCGGTTACATATGCGCTTCCAATTTGTGGGTGTTTAGAATCCATACATTGTAGGGCTGCTAGAGTCTGAGGATGTAAGAAAAACAGCAAACTGGGTCTCTTTATTCGACACTCATAAGGTCAAAATTGCCATCTTAATTTATAACATCTACAACTGCATAACTCCATCATGCTTGGAACATATAATCCAAAGGAAAGAGTCTAAGTATGACCTCCGTCATCAACATCGTGTTAGCGTTCAACGTCTTGAAACTTATTATATCAAAAACTCTATTTCTTAAAGAGGATCTATTGTTTGGAATCTTTTAGAACCATCCACTGTCAGCGCCAGGGACTATGCCAAAAGGGCAAAAAAGTCTCACGCCTCAGAAGCTTGAACTTTAATGAAGAGTCACCGCAAATGGGCCGTCCCCAAATTGACAGTGATTTCGTCTTTTATTAATTCTATTCATATCTCTTATTGTACGTATTTCACCTTTTATTGACTACATTCAATTTTAATAATTTTCATTATTTTATTAACATTTTTTAACTCGGCCCCATAAGCTATATTAACTTTAAAACCCACCGTGTTTAAACAAAAGATGTTGTTGTTGTTGTTGTTGTTGTTGGAACCACAGGCTAACCATGCTCTCACCTTTTAAAATTTGTAAGGTTGTGGTCCTTCGTACGATGGACTTCTTTTAAGCCAAGCCTGCATGGGATGCCAGTGACGACATCCAGTATTAAAAGTCTCAAAGCGCACAAACAACAGGATTTAACATACTATTTAGATCAGTTTCGTGGAGACTTCACCTCTTCACTTTCAGACTGAATTGTAGGATCCGACTTACGCAAGTGGACTGGCTTTCCTCTAGTAAAGCGCCCTTGGGCTGCCTGTGATGCATTATTTTATACGACTATGCAACTGTCATTTTGGAACGAACCTCCTACTACGGTTTCTCAGTTTATTCCTACACGGCTGACTTCGCGCTCGTATTCTCTCACCGCCACTTTAATTTTTCTTTCCAGCTGGATCTTTCTCCAGCCAGAAAAATTCTTCCCTCTGGTGAGCCCCTTAAGAAACAGGGTGGGAATTGCGCCACTTATAAACACGGCAATGGTAGAAACAAGCGTCGAAATTTCGTACGCATTTCTAAAGAAAATGATAGAAGATACCGTTAAAAACAGAAATGTGACAATAACAGCCATGTCCCGAAGCATCAGGCAGATTTCAGTTGTAACTGGAAGTACCTCATCACTCACGAACCAAAACAGATTTGTTGGAATTGTGCTCTGATCAGCACCACTGTTGGAATCTAATTCTTGCTGTCTGTATTTTAAGATAAATTCTTTAACTGCCATGTAATTTTTCTGTAAATTAGCATAACAAAAATAGACATTCGTTATGACAACCACAAGGAAAGATAGATAAGGAATTACAATTTCTGCGTTTAGAACTAATCCCATCGTTGTGAATCCTAATATTCCGTCAAAAAAGGTACATAATGTGAATATTCCATTATATAATAAAATTGTTATAAAAAGCAGATATATTACGAACGCAAGAAGGAGAAAATTACGTAAAACGATGCTATCGCTTGTTCTTCTGGTCATAGTTAAAACTTTCTTGCAAATGATATCGAGGAGAAAGATTAATGGTGAAAAACAAAAAAACAAAAAAATTACAGAAACTAAAAGAAGAAACAAACAGAATGCTGCCCCAACAAGGCTAAGAAAAAGCGTGAATAAACTAGAAAATAACAGCCACAAACTGAACAGCGCGCGTCTCATTCGCGATCCCCTATAATTCATCTCTAAGTTGCAGGTTGAAAGGCTTACCATTTTTTTCAGACTTCTGTTAAGTAGGTGACGATAGGTTAACATAAAAAAGTAAACCGTTTCCGGGAACAGTTTCAAATGATGAAGGATTTCATTTCCAATACTAACCGAATCTACATTCTCTCTATCACATAATGGACACTTATTTAGGTACAAATCCTTCGGTTTTAGAAACAAAAGTGCTGTCCAACATGGTAATACCAAAACTGTAAGGATCAAGATTGTGCTCGGCGAGATCATACCAACAGAAATAGCTGAAAACTCTGGACTTTCGGAAATGGGCTGCTTTAGGCGTTCATGGATATATTTTGGCTTTAGGAAAAAGAATAATGCTAGCGGAAAATAAAAGGAAAATGGGAAAATGCAAAACATTAAAACCGCCAACTTAACGTTAAACGATGACTTTAAATCAGGCAGAAGCTGTACACATCCGAGCAAAAACGTTGAACAGATAACCGGACTCGCGTCATCTACAGGAATTTCCTCGGCGGTGTTGCATGACAGTCTGTTTTCTTCTTCGCTTTGAATTCTCTGATATCCATTTCTCATGCCGGAACCATCTGATCGGGCCTGTCCACCATTAGGTAGTTGGTTTTCAGTTATATCTTCCTTGTCACATTCATTCTGAAGATTGAAAATACAGTCAGGTAATAGTAGAAGAAGGGCCGGGCAATAAAAAACCACGACAGCGGACAAACAATACAGAAAGGTCTTAATCGCTTGTAACCATCTGCTGCCCACAATAGAAAGATCGCAGTGAATACTTGAAACATTAGAACTGCAGCAACGATATTTAATTGACCTTAATTTCTCATCTTGATATGTAGAATAAATCTCTATCATTGCAACACAGACAACTCCAGTGCTCCCGCTTTTACTTGTTACATTATCCAACAGTGCTCTTCCCACGACCAAGTTCTGACATGTTGAGTTTAATCCTGCAAGGCATCCACTCGGTTCATCTCTCAGTGGCACTGTCATGCTTCCAACTTGATAATTCAGAAGTCCAAGGGATAAAATATCGAAATCGAACGGCAAAGACAGCATGGGCTCATTATTTGACCGAGCCCACACCCATCTGTCGGGAAGAAACTCGTCTGGTAAGTCCAGTGGATTATAGCTGTTGTTACCGATTTTTAAATTCAAGTAGACTATTCTCACACCTTTCTCAGAAGCCCTCAGTCTAAATTCTGATTCAAGATTTTCTCCAGCCGGCGTTACTTTACAGTTAAGTATTCTAAAGTTCTGTTCAGTTGCAGTCAATGATTCAAGAAACAATGAAGTTGCAATAAAACTGAGAAGAATTACAGCCATTTTCGCTAAGGCGAGTGGATTTTTTTTTGAGAATATGATATCATTTAAAGGATCACTTACCAGAAACGTGAGGTCATTCTAGGAAGTATCTAAGTATCAGCCCTTAGGGGTGAGGGGAGAGAAAGTTTGTTACCTCCCCTTTCTGCTTCTCTCTTCTCCTCCCTCCCCTTCCCCCTAGATACGCCTGATGCTCAAGCTGAGGAAGTGTTAGTTTTTCTAGTATAGGCTGGTACTGCACACCTCTCCCCTAAGAAGCCTATCCTACAGCAGGGCTAGAAGTCTCCCATGCAGGCGTTTCGTTTTGTCACGCAACGCTCCCCTGCCACAAAAAGCTAAGGGAGGAGCCTTGCTCGTTGCTCCTCTCTCCCTCTCCTCCTCTGATATCGGGCTGCCCTCGTACCTATCTGAACCCCTGGAAGTCTGAAAGTGGCGGGACAGGGACACAGGGTAGGGACAGGGTATGAACAGGGCATCATTTCCCGGGAAACTAGACTCACGACAGGAGCAATGGGTTCCTTACTCACGATCATCTAAGAAACAAAAAATCCTTGGTATTAGTATGAATAAAAGGAAACTACACCGATCTACACTACCTACTCAATAAAAGGTTTTGGTTCAACACAGGAATTGCATGAAAAAGGAA